AGGCAAAGAAAAGTGAAAAGAAAAAAAAAAAAAAAAAACCTGAATAGTTATCAGCTCTCTAGGTTATACTGAGAAGTGCAAAGACAAGAAAGGAGCATGAGCCCAACATATATGTTAATCCAAACAAGACTTTTCATTTATTCTAATAAAAAATCTACCGGCAATATATATAGTCACAAAATATTGATGGGGAAAAATAAGTGTAGAAAAAATTCTCTGCAATATTTGGGAGAAAAAGAAGAATGGAAAAATTGATTGTACTTTTTAAAACACCAGACTAACTATAACAAGCAATTATGCTTTTATTCATACCATGCATTTTCCTCTGTAATAATGCTATCAATCATATAAAAACTGTTTTGGTGAGAAGATCCACAGTGAGAACACCAGTAAATATGACTAAGCCCAGTGTGCAATTAAACTTGAAGGGAAATTGATATATATGTGAATAAATTATTTGAGGTTACGTGATGGAACAAGACCAAACAAATCCCACTCCCCCCCTTTTTCCCACAGTTAATAGAGCTGCAGAAAATAGACATAAATTGCTGAAATTTCTAAAAACTCTTATGTAAAATGAAGTTACACAAAATGAAGAACTTTACATTGTAATGAATAAAATTTCAAAGAAGAGACTCATTCTTAAAGTTCTGCATTATAATCGTGTCCCTAATTGAACCCAAAGACGTTCAGAAAGGTGAGGCTTTCTCTATTTCAGCGCTCAGGGGCGGGAGGTTGGGGATAACCGGCTTCAGGAACTTGAACTCGCTGGTCCCTGACTCTCCCATCAGACACACCTCATACTGGTAGCTCTGGGACAGGGTCCCCGTACCGCTGACGTCCATCAGGTGGCCCGGAAAGCGGCCCCCAGGCACCGAGCAGCGGCCCTCCGACGCCGCCCCGCGCCTCCTGCACAGCCGCACCGCGACCAGCAGGAGCACCGAGGACAGGAAGAGCGAGGTGACCGAGGCCAACGCGATGACCAAGTAGACGGTGAGCGAGTCGGCCTGCGCCTGCTCCGGCGCCGCTTCCGGCAGCGGCAGGTAGGGCTGGGAGAAGCCGTCCACCAGCAGCACGTGCAGCGTGACGGTGGCCGACAGCGGCGGCTCGCCATTGTCCTTGACCAGCACCAGCAGTCTGTGCCTGGCCGCGTCGCGCTCGCTCAGCAGCCGGGCCGTGCGCACCTCGCCGTTGTGCGCCCACACGCCGAACAGCCCGGGCTCCGTGGCCTTGAGCAGCTGGTACGACAGCCAGGCGTTCTGGCCCGAGTCGCCGTCCACCGCCACCACCTTGGTCACCAGGTAGCCCGCCTCGGCCTGCCTGGGCAGCAGCTCGGTGCAGGGCGCAGAGCCGTTCTGCAGCGGGTACAGCACGAAGGGCGCGTTGTCGTTGTCGTCCAGCAGCACCACGCGCACCAGCGCGTCGCTGCTCAGCGCGGGGGAGCCTCTGTCTGCCGCGCCCACGCGGAACTCGAACGCCCGCAGGGCCTCGTAGTCCAGCGAGCGCAGGGCGAACAGGTGTCCGCTGTCCGCGTTGATGGACACCAGGGAGGCGAGGGCCAG